CTCCGCGGCTATGAACCGTCCTTAACTCCAGTTCCAGGGGAATCAGAAGCCCTCTTCTGACCTCCGCGGCATTGTAGGACATGGGTGCACTCACATACATGCAGGCAATGCACTCATACACAAAATAAAAATAATAAAATATTTTTTTAAAAAAAGAGTCTCAAGAAGCCTGGTGGCTCACGCCTGTAGTCCCAGCACTTGAGAGGCAGAGTCAGGCAGATCTCTGTGAGTTCCAGGCCAGCCTGGTCTGTGCTACAGGGAGACCCTGCTTCAAAAGGAAAAAGAAAAGAAAAGAAAACAGCTTACCCAATTAAGAGTTGATCGGTGACTAGGGAGATGACTCAGCAGGTAAGAGTGCTTGCTTCCCAAACTTGAGGACCTGAGTTCAAATCCCCAGTACACATATAAAAAGCTGGATGTGGCACCATGTATGCCCTGTAACCCCAGCACTGTGGGAGGTGGAGACAGGAACATCACTGGGGCTTGCTGGCCACCACCATAGGTTCAGCGACAGACCCTGTCTCAGGGGCATAAGGTGGAGAGTGATAGAGCACCTTGAAGTCCTCTAGGCTCTGGGCACACACCTGTACACACGTGTGCATACACCACTCACACAAAAAAGTTGATTGAAGGCCAAGTCTCTTTCTGGAGTGGCACAGAATCAAATTGCATAAGTGGTATGCACATTTACATCAAAGGGCTAGTATGTTCACTAGCCCTGCCACTAATACCATACAGGTTGCATTGGGACCACTGTCATTACAAGCCACTGAGCCTCCTCCTGTAATTGAACCAAAAATCAAACTAAAGATACTATAAGGGGCATTGCCCATCCCAGTAGGTGCTTGGCACATTGATGATACAAGCAAGGCAGCAGACAAGAATGGGTGGTTGCAGCAATACAAATGAACACCATACCATGTGATTGAAAGATTAGCTAGTTGGGTGAGCAGTAGGGATAGTGGTAACTCAGGAGACTTGGCATATGGCTATACTGAAAATTGGGCTGTAGTTAGAGGCCTGGCTTTATGGGTGGCCCATATGAAGTCTGTTGATTGAAGGCCATAGGGGAACCAACATGGACTGTAAAATAGCTAAAGCTACCTTACCATGAACAATTCTGATAATTTTCCAACTGTCTGAGCATGTGAAGTTCATTTTTTATTACAGCTATGGTAGATGTCTCCTATGATACGGCAAGTACATAAGTCTACCTGCCCTGTACAGGATTGACAGGAACACTGTAGCTGGCCTATGCCAGTCATAGAGTGTGCGAATATGCCCTCTCATGAGTGAATGCAGCCACAGGCCTCTTGCAAGCATTTCCATGCAACTGAGCAATAGGTAAGGCTACCATCAGGATCTTCCCTTTCCCAATTTGGTGTTAAAAATGGGAACCCCCATATAATTAACACAAGTGCATTCATTCCACACTTATGTGCAGAACTTGGCTAAAGAAAACCATGCCAAATGGTTCTTCCAACTACCTTACAATGCTACATGGTTCACTAAAAGGGCAAATGGGTTGCTTAAATGGCATTTAAAGAATTTGCATGAAGATACCCTATATGGGTTGAAAAAGACATTTCCAGAAGGTTATTGCATTACTTTTCTCATTGCTATGACAAAATACCTGATACAAACAACAAAAGGAAAGAAAGGTTTATTTTGGCTCACAGTTTAAGAAGGGATCCGGCCTATCATAGTGGAGAACTCATGGTGGTAGAAGCATAAGCAGCTGGTCACACTGTATCCACAAGAAGAAAGGAAAGAATGCTGACCCACCTACCCAGACCACTTGAATATATTTTTTTCACATTGTTTTCTGAAGTGTTTGTAACAATGGGTTGGCTTTTTTTAAATATTTGTTTTATTTTATGTATTTGAGTGTATTGCCTGCACCTGTGTTGTGCAATGCCTGAAAGGGTCAGAAGAGGGCATCGGATCTCCAGACGGTTTTTTGTTGTTGTTGTTTGTTTTTAACAGACGGTTTTTTAGTTACCATGTGGGTGCTGGGAATCGAACTCAGGTCCTCTTAACCGCTGAACCAACTCTCTAGCCCCCATCAACAATGGGTTGGATTTAAGCATGAGTGAAGGGCCAAATTCACCCTGACCATCAAGAGGAAAATAGGTTGTAGAGGCTTAGAGAGATCCAGGAATCACATGTGGTGGTGGATGTAGGCATTTTGGAATGGGGACAATGAGATTTGGGACTGACTCTAGAGGTGTACTGAAGTGTTATATATTGCACAGAGAGAGGGTGGAAATGAACTATTTTTCTCCACCATACTTCTGACAACAAATGTCCATACTCTTTCCACATCTACATCCCTCCACCTCTCCAGACACCACCTAGGGATCTAAAAATTCCATTGACTTCTGACAGTACCTAGAGCTGTTGTCTGACACTACAGTTATATGCTCTCAGTTCCCTAAGATGGCACTCATATCAGATGAACACATCAGTTGCCAGAGAGAAAACTGTGAGCTCAGAGTACCACATTCACACAACCAAATTCACATAACATCGTCTCTTCATATCTGCTGGTTTGTTAAAATGGCTTGCAGGCCCTGGAAAAACACTGTTTACCAGAACTGATTTATTATAAACAACCCAAGAAAGTCAACATAGAAGACAGATGGCTAGGACAAGGTATTTGGGAAGGGCCTTGCATGTCCCATCTGGAAGTTCCAACCTCTCAGCACCTATATTGATCATGAAAGCATAAGGAAATCTATGAATGTTTTGTATTCAACAAACTGGATTCAGCACCTTGTCTCATTTAAGCCAACAATGTTGGTGTGAAAGAGAACAACCTGAAGTGAGAGACGGGACCGAATCCAGGCTGAGACCCATCTTAAGGCTGCAGTATAAGGGCAATGAAGTTTGCCTTGGTGGTTTCTGGAACTGCCCTTCCGTGAATGAGGCTTCGGGATATTGAGAACAGCTACAGAATCAGTGGTGACAATGAGAAGCTGGCATCAGGTAGTACCTCCTGTTCCTGTGCCCTTCTCTGAGGTTGCTACCCATTGAGTGTAGAGTGAAGCACGTGACCGCCCTGCAAAGCCGGAGCAAATTCTTTAATTCCATTTATATTGAAGATTTGCTGGTCCTTAGAGAGAGGAAGCCTGGGCAGGGAACAACTGTGGCTGGAATTTTTGTTTTGGCCAGGTAGGGATCGTTTATCCGGTCACAACCGACTCGGTATCTGGACCTCTGAGAACTAGCCAATCAAGGCCTCAGGAGCGGATGAACTGTCCTATCAGAAGTTCCAGAAGGTAGAGCGGAAGTTCCTCGCCCGCCATCTTCCTTTCTGGCGCCGCCAGCGTGGTGTGCTATCCGATAAGGGAGTCCTGAATCACTCAGTTTGGGTCTCTGTGTGACCGCGGTGAGTTCAGGAGACCCCCGCCCCGGCGCATACGTGAGTCAAACGTGAAACTTCCCATTCCGGAGCGCCGGCAGCCATACTATTGGCTGTTCTCACAGGCGCACTGGGGGGTGGAGCGGGAGGGCCTCACTCGCCGTCTTTCTTTCTGACGCTGTCAAAGTTACCATCAGTTTAGGAAGTCCCGGATTGCACAGACATTATTGAGGACCCACAGTGTGCGAGCTGTTCATTCAGGAGCGCCGGCAGACGCGGCCGCACTGCCTCACCCGCCATCTTTCTTCCTGGCCTGGTCGCTGTCACGCTGCCGCCTTGTCCACTGAAGAATCTCGGGTAGCTCGGCCTCTGTGGCCGAGCGACCCGGAGCCCAGGAGTCGCCGTGAGGCCGCAGGAGCCCCGGACGCAGACATGGTGAGCGTCCGGGCGGGTGTGCGAGGTGGATGGGCGGGGCGGCGGGACCCCCGCGTCCTCTCCTGCGGCGGCCTCTTCGCAGCTGCGCCTGGGCTCGGCGACTGCGCGCGGGCGGAGGGTCCAGGGGCCGCAGGGGAGCAGCGGCGGGTGGGATTCGCGGCCTCTGCGTTCTCCCCAGTCGGGTTTTCCTGCCTCTCAGGTTCATGGGAAGCCGCCTCTAAAATCCACGACACTGTCACCCCATCTCAGTGCATTTTAGGGTTGACAGTTGAAATCCCTAAATTCCCAGCCCCTTCCCCACTTTGCCAAACTCATGGGTCAGGGCGATCCTCCAGAGACCCATGTGAGAGGCATAGGAATGGGACAGGAGGGTGTGTGGCCTGTGATGTAATTAGACTGTAGGCGTTGATTTAAGAACAAAATGCTGATTGAGATAAGACCCGACCTTATGCGAAAGGACTACTGCTGTAGAGAGAAAGCCCGGACTGTAAGGTGAGCAAGCATCAGAAGGGGTGGGTGGAGAAGGGCCTTTCTTAGTAGGGAGGAGCCAACAGTATTAAAATGCTGGGAAGGGTTAATAGAGAATGGCAGCTTCTGCTCTTAGATCAGGTAATAGTTCCTCTGAAGTCAGCCTGCCCTTAGAGACAAGGAGGGGGTGAGTGCTGGCTTGAACTGAGGATGGGCGTCACAGGCTTTAAAGGAGAGAAACTTAAGAAAATTGCTTAACAGTGTTTTGTTTTTACTAATCAGGCCATCATTTTTCAGGCAACAAGTGGGCATTTGGATAATTTGTGAATTGATTTTCCCCCCAGGGTCAGAGGTGAGAGTCTACTTTCATCTCCGTGAGAAAATCGAGTTTTACCAGCACCATTTGTTACTCTGTCCTTCCCCGTGTGTTTTTGGCCCCTTTGCTGAGAACCAGTTGGCCAAACGTGTGGATTTATTTCTGTCTTCTCTATTCTCTTCCCTTGGTCTCCATGTCTGTAGCCAGCACGGCACTGGTTCTTGTTCTGTTCTCTATTCTCTTCCCTTGGTCTCCATGTCTGTACGCCAGCACCGCACTGGTTCTTGTTCTGTTCT